AGTGGCCTGTGGAAAAAAGTTTTTGTAATGTTGAATGATTTCCAGGCCCTTGTTTTTCACAAGGAAGTCAGTAAGAAGTTACACAAGTGCAATTATCTGTTCTGCTGTCTTTTTAGGTAACTTGATTTCCTATATGAGACTAGCTTCTTGTGTCCACTTTTCCTTATATAAATGGATCTAGAGTTTATTTTTGAAGCTGAATGTAACTGCATTGCCCTAAAAGGGTGGTATTATATTATATGTGATAGCTGGTCATTTGGGCTTCAAAAATGCTAAAAGACCAGCTTTCTCCACTGGATATAGAAGTACAATTTTATTTTTTTTTTTTTTTTACTAAAATTTGAGGCTAATTATGCCCAATTTGCTGGAGCAAGGAAAGGAGAGAGCAGCTTTCAGACCGCTTGCCATTTGCCAAGCAGTCTGGAGTATAGTCTGAGAGCCTTCCTAAGGCACAGGCTGTTTCCAGAGCAGCACTGACGCATGGTGCCTGTGCCCTTCCTGCACTGCCATCAGTGTTCTGTGTGCTACTGTTTCATACTGGTAAGACAAGCTTTATATCACAGAAATACTAAAACTGACTGTATTGTTGCTTCCCAAATCTAGTCAAGTGGTTGTCGCAGACCCTTGCGGCTTGCTTCCAATGTGTGTTCTCCAGCAGGGTGGGATGCTGAGCAGTTTATTTTACTGACATAATCACTTTTTTGTCTGAATCTTTACAGTCACTCGGAGCTGAAACAGACCTTAAGAAAGGTGGCCTTACATTAGGAGAGCTGGTCTTTAGTACTAAAATAGCTGCACTTGATTTCGGTGATACTGGCTTCTGCCCAGGGATAGTTGTTTAGGGCAGAGAGGGGAGAAAGAAGGGTGGCCTCTCTTTCCATAAGAAAGCCTTCATGTCTGCATGGTCCCTCTTTGGTAACACCCCAGAAAAATTGCTCATTCACAAAGCCTTATGAGGGCATGGATCCGTGACCCCACCAGCTGGGCTGTGGTGGGTCTGGGAGAGACTTGGTAAGAGACAGTCTGCTGCTGGCAGGGATGCCATCCCTCACAGGTGATGAGGAAGCCCTTGGCTGGTGCCCTTCTGTGGTGGCTTTAGGGAGAAAGTACCCCGAGTAGCTCATTTCAGCAGTGTGTGGGGGTAGGAGGAAATAGATTTTAAAATGTTGAGACCAGTCTGAAGAAAACAAGTTAGAGGTTTTATTAAATACACTGGACCATGTTACTTGATGACTGAAGTCCTGAGCACCACTGGTCTTGAACAATCAAGTAATTTCTCATAAGGTCAACATTATCAGATTGGTTATTTAAGGTGAAATTTAAAGAAATAAGGTAAAGTTATTATGTAATGCTTTAGCTGGGTGGTCAGTATGCATTTGTCCAAATCTGGGTTTCAAGTAATCCGGTCTGAAATCACTTGAAAATAAGTCTTTCAGCACTGTGAGCCAATATGTGGGCGAACGTATTTAGATGTGATGCCCAGCCTTTCCTTAAGCTTCATGTAGATACTCCTCCCTGAAAGTAGGGAAGTCTGTTTTCCTTTTTTGTCAAGGATAAATTTTATTTTTATGAAGAGGTAGGTTCAGATGAATCAATAAGTGTGTGGCAGAAAGGAAAACTGTACAACTTAATAACTTCACATGAATATTTGAGCAAAAATAATTTTAAATCAGCTGCTGCTGCTGCCTCTGCTTCTTGTTACTTGATTTTTCTGTTCTTTATGTTACTGCTTTGTTTGTACCTGTTACCAGATAAGTTGCATCTTTCTTTGATATCTGTCTTTAATAACTTTTCCATTTCATAGGAATCATTGCAATCGGTCACATTAATGAAGCAATTGACCAAGGAAATCCTGAGAGAACTCTAGAAACCCTACTGTTGCCCACAGCCAAGCTGCAAGACGTGACACCAGTAAATGCAAGGCATTATCAGGATGTTCTACACCACACCAAAACACAGAAATGCAAGGTTAGAACTTTGACTGTTGCTGTTTGTCAGAACTGAAATGCCGATTCTTTTCACTTTACACGTGTGTTCCTGTCCTGTTCCCACGATGTTTGGATTAGGTCTGCCAATGGGGTTGTAAATAAGCCAATGACAACAAACTGGCATGAAGTAATTTTCCACTACAACTTATTCTGACTGGCAAAAGGGATTAATTCTCAATGCATTAATACTAAGACTACTGACTTGACGTAACCTTGCTTATTTTTAAGTCTATTAGGTTGCTGCAGCTATTACAAAACACAGGCAGCAGCGGTCCTGACATAGGTCTGAATTTGTGCAAGGATCTAGTTACCAGACTGTGTTAGGCAGGTAGTTACAATATGGATGGGAATTGAGGTTTTTGCCAGAAAGGAGTCATAGTCATGCTGAAGGAGTCATGGTGTTCCTTAATAAACCTTTGAGAAGCACTTTGAGGAGTCTCAGTTGCTTAAATCTGGTGTTCTATAACAGTGGAGTTTTGTAGGTATTTCTGTTCTGGCTTTGTCATGTAACAACATGCTGGCTGTCTTGTTGTGCCTTCAGTTTAAACCTATCTCAGCAGGATATTGCTATCTACTTCCCAAAAGCAGTGTCCTGGTTATCATCACAGCTCAGGGAAGCATAAACAAAGATCAGCCTAACAGCTTGCAGGATGTGACTGAACACAAGGTTAGCTAAAGCTACTAGCACAGCACTTAAAATGTCCGATGTTTGGAAAAGACGCTTGAAATTCACATAATGCATTCCTAAAATAATATGGTCACCTGCAGAAAGTCCCTGAACTTTGGCTTGTAGAAATATCTTCTAGCTATCTTGTCACCTCACTGGTGATACCTGCTGTGAAACAGTGTGTTTCTGCAATCCACTGACAGAGCTTTCAAAAGGCACATGTCAATTTCTTGCTTGGGTTCCCAGGTGAGGGCTGGTTTCATGAAGCCCTGGATCCTGAAAAGTCTCCTCCCTTGCTGCGTGTGCTGGGGAGGGTTTAGTGCATGCTGACTACTTTACCTGTCCTGGAAAGGCCAGGGTTGGTATTTGCGTGCAGAAAGTGTCCATGCAGGTGATGGCCGCACAGTGCTGGCCCAGGACACGCCAGACCCTTTGTGCATGCATAGCGAGCCAGGGTGTCCCTGAGGCAGAGACATACAGCCCACAAGCTCCCACGTGCCTGCCCACAGCAACCCTGCCCTGGCTCGCTCCTGCCGGCTGCTGCTGTGCTCTCCTGGTGCAAACCTGGTGCCTACTCCTGTCCCTGTGTGAATGTGCTGATAGGAAACAAATGCGTGTCTCCAAATTTTGGAACAAAAATTGTGCAATCTCTTTGATATCTTCTCGTTCAAAAATTTGTGATGTTCCTAGAGACTTCTGCTGGCCTTTCTTTCCTGAGGTATTTTGGTTTTGCAGTCCTTTGACAACTACTTAAAACGCCTACTCTGTAAACAGAAGCATTGCTCCTGTTTAGGAAAAGAGCAAGACACTGTACTATATGTGCTCCAAAAAGAAATACTCAGATACATTAATCTGACTTACTTTCTATGCTAGTCAATCACACAGACATCACCATTCCTTAGGTAAAGGTATGATTTAGATGGAACTTTCCTTGGAAAAAAAAAAAAAATCCAAACAGAATTGAAAAGATAATGCAATGTCTAAAGTATGTCTATTCCTCACTTTTTCTGAGCCCTGTCTATAAAGCAGATCTGCTTTTAATCGTATTTAACATGTTTTAAGAGTGAGCTATGGTAAAAGGAAGTATTTTATTTACAAGGATCAGATAGGTCTGCCTGTGAACTTCCTGTGTTTCCCAGCATCTGGAAAAACATATGGGTCAAACCTGCTTGCTTATTCGAACCAGCCTGCTGTCACGTCCCTGTAGCTGCAGTGGCTTTGGGGAAGCAGAGTCTGCACCCAAATCTCCTAGTACCCATTCCAAGTCTTAATCTCAGATCACACCTACTTGTTCCTTGCTTGAAACTGAAAATGCAAATCTGGAATTTATTTATTCCTGTAATCTTAAACCACAGCTGCTAACAGTTCTTAAGGCTATTTCAAACCAAGTATATTCAGGTCGCAGTGAAGAGAAACCCTGTGTTTAGGGAGTGTATTATGGATACCTGAAAAATTAAACAGATGTGCCAAACTCTGAAATGATTCCTGTGTTATTTTATTTTTGAGTGATAGGCACACAGGTTTTACAGTTACATTCACAGTTTTTATATTCACAATAGTTGTATAACATCTGGTTTATTTTAAAGTTATCTTTAAAATCTGTTCTTGTGCATGTTGAGGGAATTACATGATTAAAACTAACTTAAACTAGGAGCCAGAAGAAGAAATTGAAGAGGAGGACTCTTACCAGGCTGCAAATTCCTTGAAGACATTTTCCAGTGCAAATGATTTTAAGTATTTTACAATACTATTATCAAACTGATGTAAAACATTTTTTTCTCATCACTGTCTAACATGCTGCAGTTACAAATACAAATGCCAACCACTAAGCTAATTTTGTAGGAACTTATACTCAGTATACATGTAGCTTTTGATTTATGTAAATGTAAAAGCTGACTCTCTGCTTTATTAATGTGGGCAATCAATCATATCTAGCTTCAGTATTTGTAACACTGTAGGTATTTCCTGTGAGGATGTGGAAACAGAGAATACTACAAAATAGCTTCCCTGTTTTGCTTACCAAGCAAGAATAATACATGCCTGGATTCACACTGATAAGGGTTAGCTCCCAGCAGTCCTCATGGGCTGGAGGAGTGCAGGCACTGACAAAGTGGAAGAACAAGTCTCCAGTGCAAATCTGGTTAAACAGCTTCTTAGCAGATGCTGCCTTGGAAGTCTCAGTCTCCCTGTCTATGGATGTAGATTTACTGCTCTTTGAACCTACAGGGACTCTGGCTCTTTATTTCCAACATCCAGGGCAGTATTTTCTCATGGCTATGTGACCGGGAGCTTCTGCAAAGCTCAACAGCTCCCAGGCATGTAGAAAGCGCTTTTACTTGTTCCCATTTCCACTGGGCCAAAAACTTGTTTTCACATCACTGTTCCTGCAGTGATTGTGGGCTGAGACCTAATTTGAAGCATTTGGAAATCATGAATAGGCCTAAAAGTGAGGTTTGGATATTGATTCCTCTTCTGGTGCTCAGAGGTTGTGGTGACTGATACTCTGGTTTCTTCTCCGTGGCCATGAAAGTGATCTTCTCAAAAGGAAGTGGAGGTGTGGAGCCACGTCCCTCAGTCTAGGTACACCAGATGTTGCAATACACATGATAGAATTATAGAGCTGGAGAAGTGTATTTCTGAAGATATTCCTTCTGTGGTGTGTCAAATTTTACTGAGATTGTGTTTTCTAACACTTTTTAATGTTTTAAGTTTATTTTTTGCACCTGAGGTTTGTTGCTGCCTGGGTTAAAACTATACAAAATCATAATTCCAATAATATAAATATAGAACTAAATTCATTTTTCCCTGGATATTTTAACCATTGTTAGATAAATATTGGATTGACTTCTGATTTTCGACATCAGAAAATAAAGGAAAGGATCAAGACAACTGTTTAAGCTGCTAAGGCATAAAGCAATTAGATAAAAAGAATACAACCCATCTGTGTTGTAATAGTAATAATTGACGTGATGGATAATAAGGATAATATTGCTTGGCACAAAGCAAATAGCAAAGATAGTAAGGATCAAAAGACTAACTTTTACGTACCAGAACCATTCATGAGTCTTGAGTGTTCGTATAATTGAGACATAGCAGAAAACTATAGTTGCAAGAGGTATTAAAAACCCAAAGATAGCTAAAGAAACATAGTAGTAGAACTGGAAGGAAGATATCATTTCACAGGCATTGTGCACATCATGGCAGGTATAAATGTCCAGTTGTTTCACATAATAGCTTTGCTGCATTATGCAAAGTGGAAGCATGTACAAGAAGACGATGGTCCACACAGTAGCACAGACCGTGATGGCATAGGCACGTTTCGGCAGGCTCTTGTAGGTGAAGGGGTGAACAATGGCCACATAGCGGCTGACGCTGATGCACGTGAGCAGCAGAATGGAGCAGTACATGTTGCCGTAAAACACTGCAGTGGTAGTTCGACACATCATTTCCCCAAAAATCCAGTTGTTCCCGTTGATGTGGTATGCTATTTTGAAGGGCAGCATGATGCAGAAGAGCAGATCTGAAACGGCCAAGTTTGTGTAGAGAATGGCAGTGCACACGGACCGTATCCTGAAGAGCAGCATCCACAAAATGATGGCATTAGATGGTACACCCAATAAAACAGCACTGAGGTAGACAGCGGGTATTAGCTTGGTGCTCAGAGAACTGGTCAGGTACTCCAGTGTGGTGTTGTTCACTTCTGTTAAAGTGGAGTCATTTGACTTTTTTGGAGAGCATTTGTGCTCTCTGATGTGGATGGTCGTTGTCTCCCCTTCTATAGCATATGGGGGGATGTAATCATAGTCTCTTGCTGAAATTCCACGGAAAGTCTTGATAAGAGACACGGTTTTAATTGCAGAGCCATTCAGTGAAAATTCTGAAGCTTAAAAAAAAAGGTAAAATTGTTAAAAAGGGCAAATTACTGGATTAGCAATATAGTTCACCTTCAGGTATGGAGAAAGGTAAACATCTCCATGTGAAAAGCAATATACATTTAAAAGTTTTGGTGGCATTCTCCTTTGCTTTGGGTGTTCATATCAAATGTACTCAAGGACAATGTTCACTTCATTTGTCATCTCACACACAACCTTGAAAATTTAGCTGGAATTTAGTGTTAAGCTAATCTTTCTGCATTTTGCATGTTTTCAGTAATCTTTGGCAAAAAACATCAGACACTTGTGTAACATTTATCACCTGTAGAGGGTTTTTCCCAGTAGTAGCAATGTTGCTAATTCATCATATAAGTAGCAGCCTTGGTCTAGGCTTGATCAGAATTTCCAAAGCAAACAGCGGTACTATCCTTGTCACTTCATGGATGAAATGCATGACTGCAAAACGTGTTGTCTTGCCTAAAACAGGCTTAAACTTTCAAATTAAAAAATTTAAATAACTCTCAATTTTTTGGTCTCACATATCAAATTAATGTAATTCTTCACCTTCTGACTAAAGCAAACCAGATCTTTTTAGTTTCTCATATGTGAGGAAGGGCAGTTAGTCTTTATTTATTGGTAAGTGAATGAAACTTTTCAGGTATCGGAAAAATTTTCAGTGAGTAAATATCACTCACTGAAATAAATAGCGTGTGGGCTAAACCAATGATGCCACTTTTATTAATGCCTGATCCTTAGTCTTTGACATTTCCAGATGAAGCACAAATGTGTTCAAAATAGTTTCTAAAACCATGTGTTGCAAAATGGATTTTGCAGAATATGTGTAATTAATTCTGTCATTTAAAAATTTTCTTAGCTGTGTTTAATGAAAAAAGATGTAGTGTAAAGCTTAGAGCATGCATCTTGAAACTGGAATTCAGAAGCTATCTGAAATTTGGGTGAAAACCTGTGGGTTTTCCTTCTACCCTTCCATATTGGAATAAAATATGGAAAACAGATTTGTCAATGCTCACTGGCAAATTTATGGTAGAATGTTTGAAAGTATAATTAGTAGACTGTATCTCTTTTAGTAATTTTCAGGATGGTTAATCCAGAAGATGAATTCCAGTCACTCTTTAAAAGACATACATGTAAATGCATGTGCTTATATATAGTATATATATAAAATAGCTTTTAAAAATGAGCTTTGTTTGTAAACAGCTTTAATTCTAGTGAGGAAAAAAAAGGCTTATTATTTGATCATTTCCTGTGGTTATTTTTGTCATAATAGTTATGTGAGCATTTCCTTCTAATAGCACCATCTGTGAAGCTGTAATTCTGTTGAACGTTTTAAAGCAGAAAGAACAAGACTCTACAGGCTTAAGGTTATCATATCACTACAGAAATACTGGAGAGAAGATGCATCTTCAGTAAGCGCGGAAAGATCGCTTAAATAAAATTTGCTATAGAAAGTGACTGGGGGGAGGTAAGGTGTCACTGAAATGGAAGAATAAAAATCTGCCTTAAGTGAGACTTCCTAGAGTATAGTTTTCTGTAATGGTGGATGTACAGCCCATTTAAGCTGGCGAAGTGTCAACATTATCAAAAAGCCATGTTATTGACTAAAATATGGAATACATACAGAAAGGAGGACTCACCTGTTGTGAAAAGACTGGAGGTAAGAGAGAGCAGTCCAGTGAAAAACAGTATCTTCATTGTAGTACGTGAAATCCAGCTAGCCAAACAATGATGCTGTTCTAGTTCATCTCAAGAGACGTTTTGTGGGGGATTTTTTTCCCCTCTGTAAGGGACTAAAGAATGATTGATCTGTCCTCCAGAAGCATCCTGTAGGCATGAGGTTTATGGTAAGGAGCTAGTTTGTTCTTTGTCTACTACAGCAAGAGGGTGTGACGTATCCAAACATGCACACATGACTCAGTTTCAGCCTCTGCCCAACAGAGATAAAATTGCTTTACAGCAGCAATTTAACTCCTAATTTACCACAAGCCTGAAGCCAATGTGGGGGGTTCTACTGGAATTTGTACATACAGATATTTGGGGTAAAAAGGTGTTTCCTGGAAAAATCGAAGGGTATGCTTAGTAAATCCCCAAGGATCTCGTCCACCAAGCGACATGCCAGGCTGCTGAACTCTGTAACCTTGTCGAGGAAGAAGCCAGGCTTGGGGAAGAATGTGATGATCTCAGTTTAGCAAATGCAAAGGTGAAAGCAAGCCCACATAGAAACATGCCTTAAGAAAACTGTGCTCTTCTTTGCCTTCTACTTCCCTCCCCACTGTTAGCTGTCTGTCGATCTGCCTGCCGGCTCTGCTCAGACAGTTCCCACCCC